ATTTTTTATATTTTAAAATAAGATGTTTATCCTTTATTTGATTATATTTATCCGCAATTTTTTATATTTTATGTTGTTCAAATAAATACATATTTTTCAAAGTTCTCTTTAAAATATTAACGAAATAAATTGTTATCTACAATTTTTTAATATTGTTATATTAATAAATAATTCAAAAAAGTCTAATTAATTTAATATATTTATACGTCAAGTAAAAAGTTTTTGAACAAATATAATATATTTTTTAAAAGATAATATTTTTTGGTAAAAAAAGAACCATTCTTATTTTCCTTTTTTTTTTTTGAAAAACACATATTTTTAAAAAAATATTAACGAGATAAGTTGTATTCTACTAGTTTTTATTGATATTGGTATATTAATGAATAATTTATAATTTTTTTAATTCATTTAATACATTTATTAAATAACATGTAAAATATCTAAATATTAAAATTAAAAATACAGTGTTTAATAAGAACTAGTATTTGTTATAATAAAATAATTTTGAAAGTATAATAATGTAGTAAGAAAGTCACATCACTATAGTACATGTGAACAGCCTACACGGACAATGAGGTGGCATAGAAACCTAGTATAATATGTAATTTAAATCAAAAGGTTACCCAATGCTATAATGGGTAAATTTTTCAAAGTACAATGTCCTAATATAAAATAGTTTGAAAGTACATTGCTGTAATAAGAAAAACTGAAAGTACAATGCTATAATAAAAAAAATTATAAAAGTAGATTGCTATTTTGTGCATTTTGCCCTTATATATATAGTGTTCCAACCGCACGTTGCGCTGTAGTGATGATACCATCTTCAAAAAAAATGTTATAGACTAAAATTTGAAATCCCCTTCTTAAAAAATTAGACAAATGTGTGTGGCATCTTGAGAGAGGCATTATCACTACGGTGCAACGTGTGTAAGTTGTAGCAACAGTAGTGGAAGTTCAAGGCGATGCATGAAGAACCACATCACCAAGCTAAGATAATGAATTTTTCCTTATAAAAAAATAAAATTAATATCAAGTGGGATCGATGACCCACATATCAGATATAAAACTGATAAAAACAAATAGTACATTTTATCGTAACATTCTATTATATTTGAATTGTAATTAGAGTGTGTGTCAAACCTTGATAGTAGTAACACCAAGATGACAGATAAATAACTACTTCACCAAGTAGTGTAACACCCGGAAAATCTCTCTTCTTTTTCTACGAGCACACCAAGGAGTTTCGCCCCGTAGTTGAGGTACGTTTTCTTTTTTTTACCCAAGTACTTAGAACTTTAGCTACTCTAAAATTCTTTATTTTTCCCCATATTAGAAATTCC